ATGATTCTTCGAGCGTTACTTCACACGAAGATGAAGAGAGCCAAGTATGCACGACTGGGAAGTTGAGAGCTTTATTATGTTACCAGAAGCCGTGCAGAATATAGGTGCACTTTAATAGAGGCAACAGGAGCGGCGTCATTTGGTGAGCATTTTAACGGTAACGCGGCAAAGAAAAAGATCACATCTTAACAAAGCTCGCACACAAAGAGGTCGTTTACGCAAGAGTGCGAACGATGTAGGCGGAAACTCGAGGTCATGTTTGGTAAGGAGAATTAAATCACCAAGAACAGAAAGCAAGGCACAGAAATCTTGGTTAAATACATAAAAGCAGCACTGGGGTGTACACAATGAAAGGCGCAGTGGAAATATATTCTGCATCCCAGTTAATTTAAATATGTATATACAAAAGCGTGAGAACTCAGAAGTCCAGTTTAGGGCTCTAAATGAAAAAAAAAACTCACCGAACTAGAGGATTGCCGCAAAAATTTGGAACCGTATCTGTAATCGGAGAGCTTCATTTCGAACCACTTATACCTTGCATGAAGCTCAAGGTTGAAAATCTTCTAAATCGTAATCTTAGGTTATCTTCGAAGCTGATCGCACTGATTACAGCAAAGGCCATGAAGAAACGAAAACGATTCAAGTTCGCGCAACATTAATGCAATTATATGTTTAAAAAACATGTAGAAGAGAATTTATTGATACAAACAACAAGTCGAAACATTAAACTTTCGGCCATGAAAACATTTTCTCGAAATTACCGCCATCTGTTTCATACTTTAGGCTCAACTCCCCCAAGGTTTCTCGGGACGTAACTAAGAACAGTAGGACTCCACCCATTGATGCAATTTACGTCTCAAAAGACCCAATGAGAGAACAAATTTAACATGCCCTATGAAATTTAAGGAGAAATATAACCCGTGTTTAAATTTTATTTATTCTTGCGCTGTACTTGAAATTCTCATAATAAGGGTATAGCTAGAGTGTGTCAAATCGCCGAAAAAGAAATGTTTGTGACAGCGCGATTTGAGTTGCACAATAGGCTCGAAAAACTAGGCATTTTGCGATTCCAAGTTCAGAGGTTGGCAGTTTATAGATGGTGCTTTAGCTCTGGTCCAAATGCCATCAGCAAAGGCGAACCAACTACAGCATGAGTGCAGCTGAGAAATTCACAGAGACGGCCATCTCAAACCTCAAGAAGTTTTAAGGTTAATTGAGGCTAATTAATTCTCAAGTGATTGGTAAGGTTTTAATGACATCGATCATTTTGATGACACTATAGTCGATGATCGAGCGTACCTATATGAAAATTGTTAATTCCTTCAATTTCAAGTTCATTGCACCCACCAGCCCTAATGGAAAAATCACTTATTCACATTTATTTTAACAATGATTAGTGAAACAATATAAATTAGAATAAACATGTATGAGCGTACATGAGGATAATAACTATGCACCGATCATCACAGCATAGAAATTTTTCATTGGCACACTTGCATTAAATCCACTCCCATTTCAGCCGCAAATAACAAATGGAAATACAACTGCCTTTGAACTATAAATTTTTCACAATTTACATAGACAGAAAAAATGCTGGACATTTTTATACCCTAATTTTGGCAGCACTAAATAAAATAAAATACAACCGTCTGTGATCCACACTTTATCAACAACTTCAATGAGCAGAAAAATGTGATGGACATTTTTCCTACCCCATTTGAACAACAGAATAATGAATTGAAATACAACTGGCTCTGTCCCACACCTTATTGGCGCTTCATATGAACGGAAAGTTGGCATTGTTTCCTCCCTGGTCTAACACAGCCTCAAGTGTGACTCGGTGCCGCGGAACCGGACGCGTCTCACAACAAGCCATTGTTATAGGCCGTCATTTTCCACACGTAAGAGAGACCAGCGACCCTCACTGTCGCGCTGATGGATTTCAAGAGGAGAAAATACGAGTGCGCCTCAAGACAAATAGGAGACAAATGGCGTGAATGGTTACATTTCAAACTAAAGTGGGTATTTGTTGTTCCAGAAATACCAGCGTCAGTAATTCTCATCAAATACCAATGATTAAATATCCATGAATATAGCTTTTACATATTATTAAGATACACATAATCTGAATAATTTCCGATTATGTTATCGTCAATTATTTTCAGTCGTCAACGACCGAAAAAATTATTTAATCTTAATAAAAAAATTTAGAAAAGTATTATTTAATTTCATGAGTACAAAACGTAAAAACATAAATACATCTGTAACAATCAAGAATATATGATTATTGTTATTACAGTGCATTAAGCGAACTAGAATAACCATAAAAGTGTATTTCGATCCAAGTCTTGGGTCATGAAGTCAATAATCGAGTGATCATCATACATAATGATTGTAACCGTGAGGATGATGATGTTGACCGTGTAAGCGTCAAGTAAAATTATCGTCATTATATTATTATTATTATAATCATCATCATATTATACACATCATCATTATCATATGAAATATCGTCGAGACAATAACAAAGTAAGCAACATAAAAAATAGCATTTGACTAGTAATGCAAACTGCTGGACGCCTAAAGCGTTTCTTAATCATTTTTGCATTCCGTAATGCACCCACATCTCTGAACAAAGAACTATCGAACTCGTTATTCGACCAAGTGCAAGATAAACGATCATCGTTCGAACAAGTCACTCAATCCACATTTTAACGGAAACTTTTCACTATCAGCGAAGGTCTTAAAACTTTTCTAGTGGCGGTAACGATCAAAAATCTTTTTGAAACGCCGCGTGAAGGCTGATGGAATACAATCCGCTGAAAACCTCCGTTTAAATGGGCGATTTGGGCCAGTAAGTTCGAATGAGCTCCATGGTCATGTGCATTACTTGCCAGCTAGTGGGACAAAACTCCGGCCATTATAGTGGGTGCGCCTAAGTTTTTCGCTGTAAAAGATAAAAGTTTGGCTCGTAAATTGGCATGACTAGAAAGTAAGGCACTTCTAAAACGCCCGTTAAACGACACCTTGCATCAGCTAAGCAGACGCTCGTGCCTCATTATAGAGCGACATGTCGGCAAAACGAGACAAAATTCAACACAAAGTGAAGCTTGTAGCATGATTTTGGTCCACATTTCTTGGTTTTCCTCAAAATCATTCAAGTAACCAACATAATGATGAACTGATTATATTGTGTTTCTATGTTCAAACTTTATTCATGAACTTTATTAATTTCTCATGAACACACGTTCATGAGAAATGTTAATTCCAAGCATATAAACATTTCAGCGTTCTACCAAGCAGAATTATTCAAACAGTTCTTGGTTATATTATTTTTATTTCATTAGTAGCAAAAAATTATTTTAACAAACCGTTAAGGTTGAGTGGATTGTGCAACTCAAAACAACACAGAGCATACCAACATCTGCAAAACACACGCACCAAAAATTTGTAGCCTTCGCTCATATTGCGTTAAAATGTAGGCAGGCATGCGCATATGTCATTTAAAAGCACCGAATAATAGATGCCATTCTACGTGATCTGAAATTACGCAAAATAGAGAGTGAACATTACGCCGGATACGATCAGGTTTCTTCAGTCAACCCCTCGGTTAGATATTTTTTGCCGATTAAACACAACTGAACAGAAGACGTACATCTTGGCAGAAGAAAAAAGCGCGACGTAAATTTATAAATAAGAAAGAATGTCTCCTTTAGAAAAACGAGCAGAGCGGCAGACTCCGAGGCGACCTGACATGGCAGCGAAAGTTTCAAACATTTCAGCAAGCGACACTTCAACAAATAAATGTGTGAGTAACGTTCTCTTCAGGTGGCAACTATCAATGAAATTAAAATATTCTGAAATTTGACGTCACTATCGAAACCGCGAGTAGCACACAATTAACCACTCTATCGAAGGAAATTAAATTGAAATGCCGCACAACTGCTACAATTCAAACATTTGGCAGTTCTAGGATATCAGCACGGTGAAAAAAGCAGTATTAACAAATAGTGCTAATTTACGAGGTATACTTATTCAACATAAGCACAATTCAATAGCAAGTATTCAATAAAATTCAGTAACACTGTATCTATTCAAATATTCACATTGAAAAATCGCGCTAGTTTAATTGATTTTAATTAAATTTGTAGAAGAAGTTGCTGCAGGACCGGTTCACTTACTCGTCTTGCTGTAACTCGGCAGCCCTGATCAGTAACGTCAACTTTCGCACGCCATGCAGTGTCGCTTTCAAAATGTTAGTATTTTCAGCTAGGTACACAACCAATCACGAACGCTCTCAATAATTATTCAAAAATTTAGATAAGCCAACAATGTGGTTGATGTTCACCGATACGTTTATAATTCACAGTAAAATTCAGTGGAGAAAATGCCTCGCGACTACTTCATCATGAATGTTTTTGAAGTGCCGCGACATGTCTCCATTATGTAGACTTATAGACAATGAAAATTTGCAAAAGCATTCTAGAAGGAAAACTAAATCCACACGTAAAACAATATGCAATAGCAAAACGACTCGCGTATTCATAGGCGCGCAGCGTAAGCGCCCGTCGGGCATTCAGTATACGCATCTACGCAGGCAGCAGTGTACGCGCAGGCATTCAGTGTACGCATCTATGCAGGCTGCAGTGTACGCGCAGACATTCAGTGTACGCATCTATGCAGGCTGCAGTATACGCGCAGACATTCAGTGTACGCACGTACCCAGGCTGCAGTGTACGCGCAGGCATTCAGTATACGCATCTACGCAGGCAGCAGTGTACGCGCAGGCAGCAGTGTACGCACTGCAGTGTACGCGCAGGCATTCAGTGTACGCACCTACGCAGGCTGCAGTGTACGCGCAGGCTGCAGTGTACGCGCAGGCTGCAGTGTACGCGCAGGCTGCAGTCTGCAGTGTACGCGCAGGCTGCAGTGTACGCGAAGGCTGCAGTGTACGCGCAGGCAACAGTGTACACGTAGGCGTTAGGCAGCAGTGTACTCACTTGTGAGAACCTGATGATGTGCTGCAAGACGCGCGACAAGTTGCATAGCCGCGCATGCGCTGTGTCGGGGTGGCGGTTGATGCTGCCAAGGCCTCCGTCTTCTGGCGGGTCTCTGAAATAGAAAATTATAAATCAAAATCAGAAATAAAAATTCAGAAACAATGAGTTTCAATGAGTGAAAGTGTTAAACACAATGAATGAAAACAATAGGTTTCCGATGAACGAATGAAAAAAATAGGTTTCCGAATTTTAGATTATTTCATTGCGATTTTTTTAAAATTGAATTTAGGTTCTAAAAGAAAATATTGAAATTAACTGATTATGATATACCAGGTCACGTTTCATATTAAAAAGAGACAAGATAAATGGTACCTTATAAGTTCTGGACCACGCAGGTAGCAACTCAATAATGTAACTTCTCTTTAAAACCAGGACGTTCACTCAGTTTAACATGAAAAAACGACAATACTGCTGCGGATGAGAAAAATTTATTAACCTATTCACTATTATTACTAATTGTCTATTTGAAATAAAGAAAAATTGGTTCCGTATTTCTACTGCAGAAAACGACAAACGGCGGTTTGTGTTGTAAATAAAGCATGGAATGACAATGAAAAATTTTCACCGGTCAAGGGAATAATCAAGCAATCAGACATGTTATTTCATTGAGAAATCAGTCATGAGCACAGAAACTGCACAGAATTGAATTAATCACTCGCCAAACGTAACTAAACTCATTCAGTATTTTTGCACAGTGCCTTATGAAGCGAAAATTTTTTTTAACTCTATCGGAGTTTTCGAAATTAGCAAATCGGGTAGAGGCATAAATTCAACTTACGTGTATATTGCTTAACAAATATATAAACACTCATAATGCTTGGAATGATACCTAGGAATGATATATATTCGTGGAGAAGATACCTAGAATCTATAACATGGTTATCACACATGATTGACATGAACCTCCACACACAGGATCCTGATTCATTTCGCTCCGATTTGCCAGGTAGTAAAATCAATCTTTTGAGTATGCAAACTTTCACGTTAGAACATGCAAGAATGCACATAGCAAAAATCTGCCTCACTTTGCATTAATTAAGCATGATTACATGCAGTAACAGCAAAATTCGTGGGTTGTTATTATGCTGCAACATGGAAATATTCTTCCTTACTTTGCATTTTTTTTGTCCAGGATGACTTGCATTACCGGTAAACATTCATAGTTATTATCATGCTCAGTGTGTCCCCGATACAAGTCATCGGTAGACCGCCGTGAAACTCAAGAGCACAACTTTCGAACGCTGGGCGTCGCTCAACTCGGTCAGATAAATCACGACAGCGCGCTTTACCGCAACGCGGGAGCGCGAATCGTGCAGCAGTCATCGATATTTGGCGGAGTGATCCGAGTGATCGTGCTGGCGTTACCAATATTTGGCGGAGTGATCCGAGTGATCGTGCTGGCGTTACTGATATTTGGCGCGGTGATCCCAGTGATCGTGCTGGCGTTACCAATATTTGGCGGAGTGATCCGAGTGATCGTGCTGACGTTACCGATATTTGGCGGAGTGATCCGAGTGATCGTGCTGGCGTTACCGATATTTGGCGAGGTGATCCGAGTGATCGTGCTGGCGTTACCGATATTTGGCGGGGTGATCCGAGTGATCGTGCTGGCGTTACTGATATTTATTAACTTGAGAATAAAAACATAATAAAAGATTAATAAAATAATTGAACTTCATTCATCAGCCGAAATGAAATACCGGAGATACGTCAATTAATTAGCCATTGTCACAAAGGGGTATTTTTATGTCAACAGTGAATCTTCCTAATAGACCGGTTATAGCATACCATTGCTAAGAAGATTAAATCTTTTAAATTTGATTAACACGGCATGACCAATTTGATCTCCACCGGCCAAATACCAATCCTCTTTTCGGCGATCATAATTGTTCACAAATTTAATTAGTAATCTGAATTGAAAGGAGACTCGTTCAATCACATGTTCAATCAGGAACCCAATTAAACCCAGGTCGAAATTCATATGTATTTACATTTATCATTTGATATTAACTGCAATTTTTACCGAAGTGATAGTAAAATTGGGTGTTTCTTATGCAATTCAGCCCTTGCTTACGATGCCGCGTGATCCCATGCAAATTTATTAAATTTAAGATATTGATAATAGCAAGATACATTATAGATACGATCTAGAATGGCCCGAATCTAAAATTTTCGGGCTATACTATTCTATATTTCTATTTATCGTGCTGGCTAATACACATACTAAGAAAAACTTTCTATGGCTCTTGATGAAATTCAAGAGAAATTTCATACCATGGTCATGAATGACAGACGATTTTGTACATGGACACAAACCTGTCAAATCATTCTAAACCTCCTCAATGGCGTCTTTTGATTCAAAGGCTCTTCTAAATAGAAATACCTGGTGAAATCCTTAATTGGAACTCATTTCAGTTTAATTACCAGTAAAAATTCAGGTGAAAATTATGCTCCATATTTCATTATTTTTTTAGAAAAAGTTAATACATTTTACGGAATAACTTCATTTTCTGATAAGACGTGAATTCAAATGAATTTGCAGGTATTATCAATTTTCCGTGAGATTTTCAGTAACAGCATTTATTGAACGATTTAAACTGCGACGATCGACCTCTTCACGGCTGATGTATTTTCGCAAAACGATCAATGCTAAATGAAGAACGATCAGTAGATTGATCAGATGATACTCAACGGTCAATTCAGGCACAATAAACAGTAAGTAATTCCAGGAATGTATGATTTGAACGTGACAGACGTACGTTTCCGCGGGAGACGAGAGCATAGCAGGTGTTAGTATCAACGGTTATTGCGAACCGCTTGCATCTGTTGCTCCTCGCAAGAACAACATCAAAGAACAGATAGACTGAAGAACATGAAGCAGCACGACTGCTCCGTTACGGCAAAGTTGCGAAAAAAATTACATGTACTAGTATTTTTTTAACAATAGCGGGTAACATTTGGTAAATAACTTATACCGAAATATATTCATCTTGAAATTTAACCGCAAGAGTATTTATATTTTATGAAGTCCAAAATTGTTACAACAATTATTTCATTCACAATACTGAGGGTTGGGATGAATGATGCGTACATAAATTCAAAACCTCAACATTAAACTCTCTAACGGTCTCACCATCCTTTTTGTTAGCGTATTATTTATTTGGCTGGGAACATAAGATATTTTCACGATTTTTACAGTTTTTTTTATCATGGACGACCTAGCAAATATAAAATTTGTCATTATTATTCCATTCCAGGAAACAGTTCAGTTGACCCAAGATAAGCTTTTCTCAACGCTAAGACTCTTTCCGCTGTTAACAAACTAGTATGGTTAAAAAACATGTGTAACAGTTTGTTCAAATTAAAAAGTTGACTGTGGATGAGGATCGAAAAAAAAACTAATGCAAAATATAATGAAACTCAGTGTGTGATTAATTCATATCGTAACAACATACAATATACTTGAGTTATGCGTACAGAACAGCTTGTTAATGTACTAGATACCGTTTCATCCCAGTCAAAACCAGTACAAATCGATAATCAATGGCGCTCCCATCAATCCGGTTGTTGCTTGGCGGTTGCCAAATTGGAGTCATTAGATAGCGTGACTACCCAACATCAATATTCTATAATGAGCTAGACGAAGAGACGCTAGCTGAGCTGCACCGAAATGCAGTTCACGGTCGGGGACCACTGAAATAACTTATTTGAAGTCATTTAAATATGTCAATTTTCAAAAGTTTAATAAGATATAATACATTATTATTAGTGTCATCGATTGGCCGATGCATGCTCGTAAATCTTCAGTTCATCTCTATTCCTGCTTGCCAACAACAAACGCCAGTTCCAGAAGTGACAAAACTTTCGACTCGAAATTAAAAAGTAACAAATTTTATTACAAACATCCATGGACCTTGCGAGACAAGACGCCGGCCACCCAAATCAAAGGCACATAAGTCATGATGAGTCAATGGACTCTGAATCAAGACTTTGCAAACCTGTCCCAGTTAATAAGCGATTTCCTGTCACAAGGTAATGCAGACCGAGGTTCCAGCGTCTCGAAATTGCCAGCGGTCGTCGACTTAATCGCACCAGGCAAACGAGCAGCCTGAGACATGAGGCGCTATCGTGTTTAGCCTTCACAGAACGGTGGAGAAATTCAGGGACGGTCGTAGTGTTGAATGTTGATCAGAAACAATCGGGTATTGTTGAATGTTGATCGGGGACGGTCGTAATGTTGAATGTTGATCGGGGATGGTCGTAATGTTGAATGTTGATCAGGGGCGGTCGTAATGTTGAATGTTGCTCAGAATCGACCGTAATGTTTCTCTGTTTAAAATATTATACGTATGATATAATTTTACGATTGCGAGTCTGAGAAGAATACTGAGAAGAATACTGAGAAGAATTTGTTGTGGGGGTCAAACAAGATTAATAAAGCAAATATTTTTCAGTAAAAATAGACACTTCAGTGCATTTACTTTAGGAAAATGACACATTCAAACATCAAAAGACAAATCTTTTCAAGTGGCTTCCATTTTCCAAGTTAAAATGAATCGCTTCTAGTGGATGACGCGTGACATGAGCAGCAAAGATGTAACAAGGAGACGCCCATCGCTGCTTCGCTATGTAGCAAAACAAGACCTTCGTACCACCGGTCCATTTATACATGCATTAGCAACAAAGAACTAGATTCGTGGAATTTGTGCCGTACCAGTAAGCCACATAGTCAGAGAAACGACTTTTCGGAGCGAATTTTTCAAGCTTAACGCTAAGACTTTATTTCTAGATATTAGTATTCGGTTAAAACCGCCTTAGAATCAGCGCCGATTAAAACCTTGGTTTAAACTTCCCTTGAAATGGCAAGTTCCTAGCAAGGCTAATTATTATATTCAGGGTCATCGATGAATAACATCCTGACGCGCTGGTAAAGTAGGTAACGGTGAAGCATCCGAAACCGTGAGTGAAAAAACTATCACAAGGCCATCACCATTCACGGACACTGTTTCTTGCTTACCAGCGATTATAATTATCAGTATACTGTAGACGTAA